TGGAAAATAGTATTTTTTCGGATAATCAAAAAGTCGAGTTTTTTCGGAAAATAAAAAAATTATTATTTTTCGTAAAATCGAAAAATCGAGTTTTTAGGAAAATAAAAAAAAATCGGAAATATGTAAAAATTGAGTTTTTTTGGAAAATCAAAAATTGAGTTTTTTTCTTCTCGAAAAATCAAATATTGAGTTTTTTCGAAATTAAAAAAAAATCGAGTTTATTCAAAAATACAAAGTATATTAAAAAAATGAATATATTTAAATTAATTTTTTTGGATGGATAGATATTCATCCATTGAAATGTTGTTAATAGATGGATTGAATGAATTTTATTCTTAATTGAAGGATTGAATTAGATATTTTTAAGGAAGTTTTAGTGGATTATTAATGGATTAATGGATTGTTTTGATCCATCCATTATTAATCCAATCCATATTTAACCAATCCATCCATTTTGCCACCCCTACCCTCGACCCACTAATAGAAAAAACAGTTGCTCAAAATACACTTAAATTTTAGTATTAAATGACAATAACTTTTCAATGTTGAAGTTGAAATGAACGAGGCAAGAAACATACTCATTGCTTTAATCCATCAACATTGAGTCAAGTACGTTACCACTTAGCTTGTTGCCAGTTAATAAGCTAAAAAAGAAGCAACAAGGAAACAGATGAAACAAGATTTCATGAAGCTTATTATGAGGTAGTTCTTAGTGGAAACCTTCTTATCATGGATGGTTATTCAACTGTTGAAACATGATTTTTGAACAACAAAAAGTCTCACATAGTTTGTATCATATTTACTTTGAGAGTGTGTATATAGTATACACAATGTTGAAGCACAAATGAAGATGAAGATAGAAGAAGAGAGAGAGAAAATAATTATAAACTTTTGAGAAAGAAATTTAATTGATTGTGTTATTAAAAATTAGCTACAAGCTTGTTTTAATACACAAAGGATAAGTTGCCGCACAGGCACTGCTAAAATTCTAAACAAAATTAATTTTCACATGGGCAAACAACTACTAAACCCATAAGCTTAGACACAACTTCTAGAACAACACAACCTCAGAAGTTTTTGCTTATGAGTTAGAACACCTTCAGATCATTACCTTTTAAACATGAGTTACTTCTAGCACCATCCCTTAATTCATATTCAGTTAACTAAACTATACAACACAAATTCTATCCCTCAAATGAACAAAATGTTTATTCTTGACAGTTTTCGTCATAACATCTACAAGTTGCTTCTAGGTGCTACAATGTAAAACTTATAGCACTCCATTCTAGATTTGATTTCTCAGAAAATGGAATTTCGTGTCAATGAGCTTGCTTCTCCCATGCAACACTGGGTTCTTGGCAAAGATTATAGCAGTTGTTGTCTATCGTCAGCTTCACAGGTTTCTTCACATTGATCTTCAGATCCTGCAACAAATTCATCATCCAAACAACTTGACACGCAGATAAAGCATATGTAATATATTCAGCTTCACAAGTTGACAACGCAACCACATGTTTCTTCTTGGAACACCAATATATGGGGCTTCTCAGATACTTGAAAAAATATCCATAAGTACTTCTTCTGCCAACTCTGTCTCCATGCCAATCAAATTCTAAATAACATATCAGCTCTGAGTCAGATTTAGCACCAGAAAGAAACAGCACTTGTGTTTCTCGATCCCATAAAATCAAGAAATGAAATTCTGTTACGATTCCTATTGTGAATTCAACACGAATTTTTAAAAAATGAAATCAATTACACACGCGCCAGGTACACTCGTGTTTCCCTGTGAATTGAATTGGAGCTCTAGATATCAATTGTTGGAGAACATGGTTGAAGATGAAGATGGAGATGAAAGAAGAGAGAGAAAACACTTATAATAAACTTTTGAGAAATAAACTCTATTGATTGCATTATCAAAAACTAGCTACAAACTTGTTTAAATACACAAAGAACAAGCTGCCACATAGACACTACTAAAATGCTAAATAAAACTAACTGCCACGTAGGTAAACAACTACTAAATTCGGAAGCTTAGACACACTTTCTGAAACAACAACACAATCTCATAAGCTTTTGCTTCTGAGTCAGAACACCTTCTGATCATTACCTTTTGAACATGAATTACTTCTAACACACAAACATTGTGTTAGCTTGTGGGTTGGAGAGATGAGTTTTAAGTCCAAATAATTCATTGGTTTAAATGCATTTTTATCTCTTATTTAGGTTTTTCTAACTTTTTGATTCCCCTATTTTAAAACTCACCTTTTTTTATCATTGAACTTTACTTCTTTTAGAATTTTATTGGCCTCTCTTCACTTTTGCATACGTGTCAATAATGATTAGAGTACAAAATTTACATTTAATGAAATGACATTAGTGACTAGAATAATTTATTAATTAACTTTTAATGTAGTAGATCTGTTTTGCGTAGATCACAATTAGATTTCTCTTTCATTTGTTTGTAAAGCATATTAAGTTGAAGTCTAAGGTAGTATTTTTACAGAATTCTTCTGCAACTTTAATAATATAACTGACTACCATTTTTCATTGGTTTGTGTTTATGGTATATAAGATGATGTGGAAAGAAAGGGATGATTTTTCAATGCACCATTCATGAATTTCATGTCATTGTCTACTTGTTAATATTTTCTTCTTAAGTGGAATCAACTGATGTAGTGGTGAAAGAATATAACTTTCCACTAGGAGTTGGTGGCAACGATGAAGCAAAACTTGAGAAGCAAAAGACATGCTAAAAGCAGCAGACAAAGAAGCTAGAAGTAAGTTATTATTGGAGTCCCACGTTGGTTTATTTACAAGTAGTTTTAGTCTTTATACAGCTCACACAAATACCATTTAACATATATTTATGCATGGGATGATACATGGTATTATGACCCAACATGCTTCAGTTTATAGGGAGAAAGCTAGACCCAGTGTCTTACAATTGGAGAAACTTTGTTTATTGGTGAGGGATCATCTTCCCACATTTATGTGTCTCTGACATCGTCTTTCCAAATTCATATATCCCATGCTTCCTTATAAACCCAATGTTGCCCCAAATGTTGCTACACCTAATAGTTTCCTGAGAGGCTCCTCATACATTTCATTGTTTCCTATGTCCCTCACGTGGGAAAGAAAGGTAGCATAAATATTTTAAATATGTGTTATAATATTTAAGTTTTCTGACAATGAATGTATTTATTTTTTTCAGCACTGTGACACATTAAAATGTATCAGTCGCATTAGGAAGATTGCAAAGCTAGCGCAACCTGATGAACCATGGTTTTAGAATGTCTTACAACTATTTGGGTTGTATGATTTATGCATAACTGAATATGGTTATACTAAGCATGTGTTATTGTCTGCTTTTGTTACTAGATGGCACACAATGACGTCATCCAATTAACTTCCGATTACTGAGATGTCCATCACACTTGATGTATCATGCCTCCTACATCTTCAGATTACAGAAAAATTATTAAACTACTTGGTAACTAGGAGGCTTGAAACACTATACATGATGGTGACTTATTTAGGAGCTGACTTAGGAAAAGCTCAATAGGAGATAGATGACCCCAAAGTATGTCATGCTAGATTTTCATTCATGGTGGATCTATATGAAAACCACCTAGATAGATGGCACACAAAGACGTCATCCTTTTATGTTCTGATTAGTGAGATGTCCATCACACTTGATGATGTATCATGCCTCATACATATTCTGATCAGTGAAAATTTATTAAACTACTTCCTAACTAGTAGGCCTAAAGCACTATACATGACGGTGACTCATTTAGGAGTTGACTTGAGAAAATCTCAATAAGAGATAGATGACACTAGAGGATGTTATGCTAGGTTTTTATTCCTAGTAGATCTATATGAAAACCACTTGACTGCAGCAATGAATGTTGATGGCAGTGATGCATGAGTTTCATACTATGGAACATGTGCATTGAGGTAATACCTTTTTGTTTTGGTTGGCACATCCATATTTGTGAATAAAAGTGCGACTTATAGAATGTGACATCCTTAGATGACACTAGATACAGAAGGAGAACCTTAAGTGCTAGCTCATCAGGAGATCTTATAAGAGGAACAATCAAGGGAAAGTCATGTCCTTAACATGTTATCGATAGAACATATTATGGATATTGTGAGATAAGTCATATCTAAGGGCGAGTTTAGGGAAAACATTCCTCAAATGACCACTCTACATGTCATCTTAGTAAAGGCACGACATGCGTTATGGCACAGACAACAGAGGAGGAACATGAACGTCAAATATACACAATAGATGTCTTTTACTTTGTATATTTTGATATCTTTACATTTTGTATCATGATTTGTTGTGGGATTGATTATGATATTTTTTATTTGACATTTAGGCATTCAAATATACACATTAGTTCTTCTATTTTGATCTTATTATTAAATGACAAATATGGATGATTTATTGTAGGTTTGCTTTATAAATGACTTATAAAATAAGCTTTATTAAAAAATGTCAAATTTCCTAGATTACTGTCTAGGGGTATCAAATAATGGGTTAATCCGGAGTTTGAAATTTAAAACTATGTTTTTCCCCATTCTAACGAAACACAGAAAATACACCGACAAAGTTAATTCAAAGATTAAAATCTGAATATTTTTGACAAAAAAATGAAATGACACTCTAATAAAGTGATTTGTTGTATAACAGATGCGTCCAAATTTTAAAACTTGGACGATATGAGAGAAATTTTTAGATATATATAAAGTGTGTACCAAATAATTAATATGTCAATAGTGTCCTAAAATAAAAAAAAAATAAAAAAAAAGGATTAAACTTACCCACACTGTTCTTGGGCTAACAAATCACTAACGGGCTTTTTCCAAAAACCCATTTTGGTTGAAACACCAAAAACCCTAACTGAACAAAAAACATCTCTGTGTTATTTTCCTGTAATGAATCAGAAAAATCACAAGACTAAGAGTGAAAAAAAAACACGTAATTTGCGATGAGTAGTGGTGCAGGAGCTGTAAAACCCAAAGAGGAGGAACAAGATGGCATGTCCGTTCATTCTCCTTGCAAACCTCCTCCTTCCTCCGCTTCCTCTCTCCCCAAGGTCTCTTTCTTTCTCTAACTTTCAATTTCAATTTCAAATTTTTTGAATTTCAATTTGATTCATGATCGTGTTTATAGGAGCAAGCGCAGGTTGAATTGGAGCTGAGACTGTTGGAAGCTCTTGAAATTTATCCTCCAATAAAACTTCAAGGTTTTTTTCTCTAATCTTATTTGTAGCTTGTAGCACAAGTGCTTATCAAAATAAGCGCTTATGTTTATAAATAAATTTGCTTAAGCTATTTTTATAACAAAAAGTATAATAAATTTAAATTGTTCTTATATATGTTATAAGATGTTTTCATAAGCTCTCTTGGAGAAATTATTAAAATAAGTTTAGAAAAAATCTCATAAGTTGTTTTGATGAAGTCTCAGTATCACAAAACTTATATCAGTAGATAAGCTCAAATAGAGCAAATTCAAACAGGCCCTTAATCATATTTCATCTTTGATTACATAAATATTTCGTAAGTACATTTTCAATGAACACTTAATTAAGTTGTTTAGTCAAACACACCCTATTTCTCTAAAAAAAAAAAGCTTTAAAGTTTAAAAATGGATCATCATTAGTGATTTTTGCATCGACTGATTTTAGTAGTGATAAGCAAAGAATATTGGTTTTGTCGAAAACAAAAACCCATTTTGTAAAAGTATGTATGATCAAATAATGGTATAGATGCATGCATTTAGAGTGCTTGATATGCAAGAAATTCTCTTTAATAATAGTGGTGCTTTTTTATTGGATTCAATTTATATTATGAGGGTGCTTTTTCAAGTGAAGAGTAACCATTTGTTGAGACTAGACTACAAGAACAATAACGAATCGAGCTGTCATTGGTTGCATTTATTTTCGTATTGAATGTGATCACTGCTTGTTTTGTTGTTATTTGATACTGTCCGATAGTTTAAGGCTAGTCATTAGAGATCATGATTCCTCATTTTATTTTCTTGTCGGTAAGATTCATCACTTTTTATTCTTACGATTAATATCCATTTCATGAAGGAATACATCGCCACTTTGTCCTTTATGGTCTGATGGAATATCTAAAGAGGAGGTTTGTTCTTCTTTCTACTTTTAAGCCCGTTTTGACATTTCGATTATAAAGATCATAATGTGCCCTATATATCTATATTCTGATATATGATCTTTGAATTCGAAATACATATGCTTCATTCAGTTTCGACAGACACTTCTCTTCTGAGGAGGTCCTTCAGTTGCTGGATCGGTTCTACAACTTAGAAATGCTGGTATGCTATCAATAAGACGCGATTCCTCCCATTGATTAAAAAATGGCAACTCCTCAAGTAACATGTTAGTTTGTGCTTTATGTTTTAACATAGTGCTTTCAATTTGTTTATCATTCTACCTCAGAAAACAGATGATGAAGATATCGACATGCTTAATCATGAAGAAGATTTCAGCTTGCCTCAGAGTTTCTTTGGAAAGGAAGAATCTTGAGCTGTAAACATTTTCATTTGGGCTTCTGTCCACCCTCTGATTTGTAAAGTTAGTTGTTCTTCTATTTTGTCACAGTCTTCTCCACTCGTTTTGTGTTGGATTATGCTTCAATGGTGGTGGTTCTTTTATCTTTTCTGTTAAGTTGCGGTGGCTCTTATCACGCACATCTGTCATGTTTTGTGCGGTGGTTCCGAGTATTATAATCTCGGTTTAACTGCAATGATTTGGATATATAACATTAAGACTTCAGGGTATATTTATCTGATTAAAGAGAGTATATCGTATTTTGTTGACTCTGATGTCACAATTTAAAATAAATTCTATACATTTATAAAGAAAGATAATTGCTTGTTTGAAAAAAGTGTTTTTCTCCTTTAATTTTAAAGAACAGATTATTCATATCAAAATATAAATGAAAATTGCACGACTTATCACAAAATATATACATTAATTTATAAACACTGCTTTTACATAGCTCATGGGAATTTGGAAATTTTAAATAAACACATGGTTAACAAGTTTGACCTTCAGTTCTTATGATGGTTATCTTATTCTACTGCAGTAGAATGATAAAATGATTAAAAAAACTTATACAAATTATTTAATTTTGGGGTTAAATTGCCTCTTCTGTTTATAATTTTATTTCATTCTTATACATAGAAAATGAGACTCAATATTTTTAGTGTCATTAAAAATCATCATACAATCTATTAACTAGAAGTAATATAGTATTTTGAAATTATATTTCTATTAAGTAGAAGTAATATAGTATTCTGAAATTATATTCAATATAAGCTGTTTTATTTCACTGATATAACTATTTAATTTAGTTCTTCAGTTGGAGAAAAATAAAGATAATAAAAAATTAGGTTAGATCGATGTGATGTATATTTCTTGACTCTAATCCTCAGGGGCACTGTATGGCATATCCAATTGATTGTGTGTTAAAAAAATGTTATAGTTGTAATATTTATAAGGAATTTCTTAAGTCACCTCTATATAATTAAAAAATATCTTTGAAAATTCGAAAATATTCTTTAGACATGTCTATTCAAACGTACCTTTAATTACATTTTTAAGATGTTTCAGATATGTATATTTAAAATCTCCTTTATTTCAATATTTTATTATTTAAATATTGGATTTAAAATGTTAGAGGTAATTTCGGATGTGCATGTTCAAAACTACCCTTGCAATATAAGTTTACTGCATGGTCACCCTTAATCAGTTTTTCGTATCCAAACCAAGTTTCAAGTGTTTGATCATAACAAAGAGAGCATAGAAAACTACAATTTGAGTTAAAGTTTTCTCATTTCATCTCACATTCCTTGCATAGATGGTGATTTTAAGATGAAAAACAGCTTCACTTCGGATATGCATATCCGAATTCAACCTACCATAATTCGGATGTGCATATCCGAAAACATGTATGCTACATAAGCATAATTTTGTTTTAACCGAATTTCTGTTTTTTGTCTGTGTTAGATATGGTACACTCCAACATGATTCCCAAAGTTGTCTTAAAGATTTCGGACAAGGTCAATGAAGATGCTAAGCCAAATAAGGGGAAGGACAATGTTAAAATGATTGATATCGTGATAGATGATCGACAATAATTTACAAATGAAAAAAGTTTCACCTCTCATCAACATATGCTTGAATGAGTTTGAATGGAAGCTAGCAAACTTAGATTTGACATTGTGATTGGAAGTTCCGACAATGGCAGTAGTAGAAGGCAAGCATTTGTTGTGATGACATGCGAGACAAGTGAGAAATATGTTGCAAAAACTCGAAAGCTAAAACATGATGACACGGGTTCGAGTAAATGTGAGTATCCATTTAAAGTACGCGCATCTTGTAGGATTGATGAACTATGGCGGTTTAATGTCATTTCTGGTATGTATAATCATATGTTGGACACCAAGCTACAAGGGCATCCCATTGTATGTCGGCTTAACCCGGGAGAGAATAAATCTATTTTAGAGTTGTCATTAATCAAAGTTGCGTCGAGAAATATACTTTCTAGATTTAAACAGAAAAGACCACAAAGTGTTTCAAATATCAAGCAGGTATACAATGAATGTTATCAACAAAACATTGCGCAAAGATGCCTGAGGCACGAAATGCAACATCTTTTAAAACTTTTGGACGATAACCACTATGTTTCAAGGTACAGAGCTTGTGAGGACAATGTTAGTATTCATGACATATTTTAGACTCATCCATAAAGTATCAAGTTGTTCAACACATTTCCAATCGTCTTTATAATTGATTCGACGTACAAGACCAACAAGTATAGGCTTCCGCTTCTAGATATTGTTGGTGTCACATCTATAGACAAGACATTTTTTATTGGATTCGGTTTTCTGGAATCTGAGAAAGAAGACAGTGTTACATGGGCATTGGGTACATGTAAGACTTTGTTGATGGATCCACAAAACATGCCTAGTGTCATTATTACCGACCGAGATAATGCCCTTATGAATGCGGTTGGTAGTGTGTTTCCTATATTAACTGCATTACTTTGTTGGTATCATATAACAAAAAATGTGAGATCTAGGCTCAAACGCGAAGTTGTCACCAAAGAAAAAAAGGATGATGATGGAAACATGATCAAATTTGGTGTTGTGGTCGAGAAGATAATGGGTGCAAGAACCGATATATTAAATTCTTCTATAAAAGAGTTGTATATGGAGAATATGGTACAGTTCAAGTCCCTGTGTGTCGAATATCCCAATTTCTTGAAATACGTTGAACCTACTATCCTTGATCATGTGAAAGATAAATTTGTAAGTGCTTGGAGTGACCTGGTTAGACATTTGGGTAAAACAACAACTAATAGAGTCGAATCTGCACACACGGCATTGAAGAAATGGTTGGGTGATATCAAGGGAGATCTTTGTAGATAATGGGACACGGTGAACCAAATGCTCCAAAACCAACATAATAAAATTCAAACAACTTTTGATCAGAGCAAAATTATGGTAGAACATTGATTCAAAGAATACACTCTCTACTCGCAGTTGGTTCACAACATATCCCAGTCGGGATTGAGTTTCATTTTTCATGAAGCGGAGCAAGCGGAGACGACAGAGCCAGATAGTTTCAAGTGTGGGTGTACAATTTAGAGAACTTACAGGCTTCCATGTGCTTGTCTAATTTCTAAAAAGATGAATCACAATTCTCCCATACATATGGATGTGGTCTACGTTCATTGGAAAAGACTTCGATTTGATGATCGGCAAAGGAAGGTGCATCCAATATAACCATCACAACCGAGTTAGAAGTGATAATAGATAGATCTTATAAAGTGGATGACTTTATGAGATTGAACATAAAAGAACAGTTGAGGAAAATCGCCTTTCTAGAAACCACCGATTTGAAACCTCCTTCGCAACCGGTAAAAATCAAAGGTGCTCCTAAAAAGGTGAAAACTATACAAGATGATAATTCAACAATGTGTACTTCATCTTACCATGAAGTTGTTGATTCATTATCTTGGTTCTCCAACCCTAAAATCCAAAAAAAGTGTTAACAGGGAGCTCGCATTTCCAAACCACCTCGTACACCGCCTATTAAAAAACAACCACAAACACCTCCGATTAAAAAATCACTGATGAATTACATTAATGAGATGCCTCTTTTTATACACAAATACATTGAAAGGATCGTTGGTTTAAGAACAGATGTTAACTGCGGGTATCAGACCGTGTTTGGTTTACTTGGTAAAGGAGAGGAGAATTACACTCTTGTGCGCCAAACACTTATTTTGGAGTTGATTGTGCATAGGGAACTTTACACACGATTATATGTGAATAAGGAAGCATCCGATAAAGTTCACAATGCTCTTGTTTCAAGTCTTAGCGTTCGTGCACCAGTTGAAAATGGATGAGCTTCTCTGATATGGGCCATTTTATAGCAAATGTGTATGAGATGATGTGTATCGATCTGACGAGATTTGGTTTTTCAAAGACATTTTTCCCATTTTAGAGTCTCCCACCTAAAGAGTCGTCCGGCCGTATCATTTGTATCATGTATCTTTGATCGCGCCACTTTGTACATGTTTATTTGAAACTGGGATGTCTTATTATATAATAGAGGTGGAAACTTGGTCGGATGCATTTTTTGAAAGGATGGTGGAGTTCACCAAATTTATGGAGCTTGAGAGAGAAGCAAATAGGGAGAAGTCGAAGAAAGATCTTGTTTCAGATTTAAGTGGTGAGAATTCGTTCAGTGCATTTTAGAATGTAATCGAGCCATTTTTTGAATGTATTATCGTGCACTATGTAAAATCTATATGATTCAATACATATATAACATATCTATATTAGTTTTACTATTTTTAGTGTTACCGGTCTTATTTTTTCCATGTCTCTTTGTTACTAATTCTGCTAAAAATGATATTGTTTCTGGTTTTACATACTTTGGATATGCACATCTGAAAAAACATTCCATTTAAAAAAAAACATGGCTTATTTTAGATATGCACTTTCGAATTAATCTTCTATTTAAAAAAACACAGGGGTATCAGATGTGCAAATTTGAATACCCCTTATTTTGGTTTTAAAAAAGGTAAATTCAGATGTTCATATCCGAAATAAGTCTTGATAGCAGGATAAAACTTTTTGGATCCAAATTGATCCAAAAAGTCTATAAATGCGGTCTCCAAACCATTTTATCATCACAAACCACAAACAGAAATGACAAACATATCCACACCTTGCTTTTGTCTACTTCACTGGTAAGGTTTCGCCACTTCAATTCAGGTTCTCGCAGGACACACTGTTCCCCAAGCTGATTACGACGCTGAATTCTCTCTTGCAATATCCAGATAATAGAAAGGTGATCAAACTTGAGTATCATTCACCCTCACTTGACACTGAAGGAAACATAAATTTCACCCTGTTTGAGCTCAAGAACGACGACGATTTAGAGGTTATGTGGAGTATTTTTCAATGATAATCTTCTAAGGGTCCGATTGAGGTGGATACAAAGCTTCA